AATTGTTCTTAATTAAATTTTGACACACTCATCCAGAACTGTGATGTACAGTATGATTTCTTAATGCCGCTATAGGCAGAGGAAGTGCTATTTTTAGAGAAATGAGCACTAGAAATAGATCTAAATTCGAGGGATAATTTTGTTTGTCAATCTGGAAATACTTTTAAAAGATTTTTTCTGTTAAGATCAAACACTTATGAAAGAATAGATCAAAATTTCCTCAACACTTTTTCCCGAAAATATCTTGAATAATTACTTATAGACTATTGTTTTACTAATTAAATGAATTTATAACCCAAAATTAAAAATGCGAATTTACCTAGAACAGGTGAGCAAATATTTGTTGAATTTATAAAGTAACTTAAACTGACTTATTTTTTGGAAGCTATGGGAGCTAGAACAAGTGTCTGGAGTCAAAAGTAAATACAAACAAATAGTACTTTTAATCTCTTCATTTAATTAATGAAGGCTGATTTAGCCTAATAGTTTTATTATCGAAAACACAATACTTATGTTTGATAATTGACTTTTTCCTTCAAGTCATTGGTTCTCAGTATCATTTTGATCACCTTATGCAAAATAGTAACGTAACGCATGCATGCTCACTTTACCAATATACAAGGAAATTGCTACTTTTCAAAAAAAATCAGCATTGGCTATAGATTTACAATCCTAAGATTAAGTATATTTGTCAAGTATTAATACTTTAAAGGGTTTAGTTTACAATGGTTCATTTATTATTTATTTTACTTGATGTTTTTGGTTTTAGTTTTAAATAAATTTACTTTCAATTTTTGCAATACTAGCTTTCCCGCGGACTTTCCAAATCAGAGTTGGCTAAAGTTGAGAAAGTTGCCTTCGGAATCAATTACAACTACGACAGCTATCTGCTCATAAACTCCTCCTACGTCTCGCATTCCATTTACATGTTTATCACTCCTAAGGGTCATGAGCCGGCTGGTGATGGGCATAAGTTCTACCCAGGCTATGGTAACCATATCACGGTAAGCATGCGCCGAACAATTAAGCACCATAAAAAGGAACCATGCCGCCTCACCGAGTACACCGTAGAAGTTTTTGGTGCTGATCTCGTATCTCGACATAACAGTACTGGTCAAGCAGAGTTCTGTCATCGCATTGTTTCACAGAAGCTTTATGTCGAACGTTGTGGTTGCTACAACCCTTACCTTCCTTTTCCGGTGCTGAACATAAAGTCTGGAGGGCCCCCTCCTATTTGTTTCAACATGACCCTCTTCTCAATACACGAACTGGCAGAAAATGAGCGCTGTATGCATACCTTGTATGGCGAGTTTCGTAACGTTTCACATTACCTATCTCTACCAGAGGCCCGTCACTGCGAACACTTTCGCATTATGACAGAATGTAATACTCGGACTTATGTAATTGAGGAGCTCTATCGAGAACGGATGATTGAACTATGGACACAGTCCTATAATGATGCACGGGCAGCATTCCTGAGGCAGTCCTTCATGGATACCAGTCCTGATGCAGATAAAATTATGCAATTGCTAGCAAAAAATACAACTAATGAACAAAACGAATACATGTTTGCTCGGCTTCGGCAAAATTTTGGACTTTTAACAATCCGACGCGATCAAGCACATGGGATTCTAGTTTCTGAGGAGCTTGAGTATCCGCTCTCAGAACTCCTGTCTGACGTGGGAGGTTTGATGGGCCTCTGGGTCGGAATATCAGTAGTTGGTCTGTTTGAGTTCATAGAATTGGCAGGCTTAATTATAGTAACTGCCTATTCTTGGCTGACTTCCAACCAGTTTAACGGTAAGCAAGATGATGTGAAAAACCAAGAGTATTGTCAGACATGGTCAAAAGACGATAAAGGTGATAAACAAATTATCTCCATTGACCCACAAAGAGGACAAAATGTCGTGACCTATAAGCTTCCCGATGCAAAGCTAGATCGACCAAAGCGACGAGAAAGCTGGAATAGAATTCACATAAGCAATAAGGACTGTGGTGGGAGCAGATTGAACGAACAAACCACAGTTCAGAAAGACACAGAAACGATGGTGTGGGAGTTAAATCTGACTTCTCGTAAAGTAGAATTTTCCTATCCCGAGCGGCAAGTTTTTTGGCCGCATAAAACTAGCTATGAGATGACAGGCGATAAAAGCAGATCAGAAGCCTTAGTATTTTGTCCAAGAAAAATAATAGATCATCATCGGAACGGCAGCAATTTTATCGAAATAACTGAATCATCTCTTGGACAAGATAACTTATTGCGTCGAAACTCGTCTTCGTCGTTAGACAAGCTAAGTCAAGATGCCAATCTTCTAACCGAAAACAAACAAAACAAAGCCAAACAAGGATTAAATGAAATGTCATAAAAGTGTATTTGAGAACATATCCTACCAAAACTTTCCTCAGTTGTACATACGCAAAACAAAATGCGATATAAATGGCATCATAGACGACTCAAAAACCACACCGAAACTTTCATAAATAATAATGACTCCATGCATATTTATATACGCCCTATTTTGGTCATAAAACTGTGTATATGGACTCGCAGAGTCTTCCATGGAAAAAAAAAGATAATGTTAATGAGAAAATTTAAGGGATCTTGAATACTTTTATTGCTAAACAAATTCTATGAAAAAAAACGTTTTTTTGAAGTACGCTAATGATTTTTGAGAAGATAATTAGTGTTCAATATGTAAATAATCAAGCCATATCATTAAGTTACTCTAGATCATTATATACTGACATTAAATACCCTATCTTATATGCGCGATTTTTTACTAAACGGCTTATCCAAGTAGCTGGACAAATAATATTCTGAAGTTCAGTTAAACAAGCATAGCAAAAAGTTATGAAGTAAAAAAGATTACAGTAAAAGTAGCTTGTTTATTTAAACAGAGCTTCCACATAAATTCAGTTTTGCTGTATAAAAGACAGGGGATCTTAAAAAATACTGATAAATAATGATTTTTTAGAAAACTAATGAAGCAAGCTTTAGGTCCATCAATTTAATTCTAATTATATAAGGTAAGAAAATTTAGCCACATAACTTCTCATAATTTTCTATGAAGCGAATAATACATGATGGATACAAGAACTGATATAATAGGTGCCTGCAAAATAACAGGAAGCAATGATAATAGTTAACCCTAGATAGCTGCGTAGTTATACACTAAAGTTATTAGCAGCAAGCAATATTCTAAGTGAAAACTTAGAGTCCTTAAACCAGATTTTATCATCTCCTAAATATTTTGGGAATTATTCAATGTTGTACAAACTATTAAACATTATTTGTGAATTGATCAGCCATCAAATAAATAATTAATGTCACTTGATATTTACGGAATATTATCTGATTAAATTTTAGGTCATAAGGATATTTTATATTGCTTTCCTAGCAATAAGTTTAATTTGCGACCAATAGATCTATGTTTTTAGGATCCTAGTTTAGCCAATTTCTTGCAAATTAGATGTTTTCTCTTATATTTATGTGGAAAGGAAGGACCTTTTCCTGTTATTCTAGTATCCTTTAATTCCTTTGTAGATATGCGAATGGTTAATAAATCGTAACTACAACTAAATAAAAAAATAAGTATTCTAATATTCATGTATTTTTTGACA